TTGTGGTCCTTTCAAAGAGCAGAAATCAAAGGGCCAAAGTTTTGCCTTAGCTGTTTGTGATTTGGGCTCAATGTAGCACCACTGATCATACACTAAAACGTCAATGTCATGGTTGCCCAAGAGGAAACTATCCAAAGGGTCATGTCTTCGCACATAGACAACATATTTATCAATGAGAGTGTGTACCTTGTGGTCCATGTAAGAGCACACCTTGAATGATTCAGACAGACTAGCAAGAATGCAGAGCAGCTAAAGGATATCACCTGTGTGCTGGATCTGACTGGGAAGAGCAGGGTAAACTGCAATGGAGATGTGAGAGTGAGCTCCCACCAATGCCTAACGTACTCACCCGTCAGAGAAGCTTTTCCCTGTGTAGAAAATTAATCAGACATCTGCCACTGTGCAGTAGGCTCCAGGTCATGACCACATTTGTGAAATGACAAGCAAACTTTGTAATGTCTGGCTGGGATGATGAAACATGGGATCCACTTTTGGTTCAAATGCTGATGGACATCATCACCAGAATAGCATAGAAGGATTCAGCACATGGTGATAGGTGAGTGAATACATGTTGACTGCACCTAGTACACGAAAACAAGCACATTAACTTGGCGGAGCTTGACTCAATGTTGAGAGGCATTAACCTGGCATTGCAGTGGAAGGGTGACCGTGGTTCACCTGAAGACATAATCGGCACATGTACATCAACTGATCAACTCACCAGGGTGCCTCATTGATGGCTAGATGCACTCTGAAAAGAAATGGAACCAGTGTGCAGTGAATTCATAGAACAGGAGGGATCTACCCATATACAAATGATCCATCAATGAAGTGGACATCCCGGCATGAAGTGCACATTTTGTAAAACAGGTCAGCCCTGAAGTCTTGAAAGCAGCAGTTCAGGCTGTAGTCAGAGATTGTGAGGCATGACAGTCCATACTCCTGGCACCAATGCATTGAGAAGTTGGAAAGCTGGATATAACAATTGGAGCAGAATGGGAATGGATATAACCCATTATATGACCCTGATAGACTGTGACCCTAGTCGATTTTCCACCTGGCGGCTGTTACTGTGTCAAGACTGCCAGCATCATCCAACAGTTGGAGTCTCTATTCTGTGAGAGAGGACTACCTGCTGAACTACTCATCAACAATGTTGTGGCATTCTGTGGAGAGATGTCCAAGAGGTTTGCAGCAGAGTGGGGCATCCAACTGAGATTCCAGTGTACCTATGTGCTATCAAGGAATGGTATCATAGAGAGATGCCATCAAACCATCAAGTGAATTGCCACTAGAGCATAATGTTCCATCATGGAGCTGTTACAGTGGTATAACATGATACCAAAAGATGATGCAACAGCTGTGATAGCACCAGCTAACTCTATATACAAATATCAGACCTGCATAAAGAGTTTCAATGTTACACCACCACTTGAACATATAGGTCCCAGTATCTACAGTGTAGGAGATGTGGTCTGGATAAAGACCCCACAAGGCTGATACAATTTTTAAAAAAAGGAGAGTGAAGGGGATCTATAGCTTACAATTGGTCCTTGCCAATGAAATACCATGTCACACCAAAGACATTTGTCCTTGTCACAGAAGAAGACAATGATAATGGTATGTCATCTGAGAGTGATTCAGGTAAATACACTGCTGCTTTTCAGAGCAGAGTCAGATGAGTCACCAGCAGAAGCAGAAGAAATAGAGTCAGAAGTTGACAATGATGATACCAAAAATGAGAGAGAACCTGTGGATACAAACAAAGATTCGTTTGTTTGGTTTGTTTTGTTACACAGCTTATCATCCTGAATGAGTTATTTTATGCTGACAAGACTTATTTCTAGTAATATTTTTTTCTCAAATGTATTGCCGATAATAATTTTTTTAAAAATGTATTGCTGGTAAGAATTTTTTTTTCCTTGAATGTATTGCCAGAATTATTATTTTTTTTTCTTAAATGTTTTGCTGGTAATAATGGTACTCCAAACAGTCATACAATTTTTTTTTTACTACAAGCACAATGGCTAAGATGTCATGATAATAACAACAAAGATGAGGATAATATCCCACATTAAGTATTCTACATTTTTTGTTTCCTAATTTTTGACTGACACCCATCAATGTCAATAATGGGAGCAATAAGCTTTTACTTCAACCTTTCTCATTTCCAACACCCTTTTTTATAATACTATTCTCTTCTTCCAAATTTGAGCAAAGGTGCATTGTAGAATTGGTTAATATTCTAAGAGTTTCAATCTATCATTCCAGTTGCCCCTTGAAATTCTGTTTTCACAATTGATGGGAGGTGAAGATCCACACCTAGTTGAGAACTACAAATCTGAACAGAAGTTATGAGAAAGTGATTTGTCCAATTACTGACTATTTTATCAACTATTATATCATTCTAGTAATAATACAGTTTTTTGTTAAGGTAAAAGCAATGAAAAGTTGATTAATGCTTTTCTTAAAAGCATTAAGTAAACACAAGCAATCTCAGCTGAAATTTGAACTCTTTTCCAATTCTGTTTATTTGTGCTGATAATTGTTAGGCTCCAAACAGAAATTATGTAATAAAATCACCCATGGCCCAATGCTTTGTATAACTTTCAGAAGAATTAACATTCAAAGATTTTTTCTGACATTTGAACTCCTTTGAATTGTTAACAAATTTGTCACAAAAAAATCCTATTTCTTTACAAATTATGCACCTGAAGAAGGTTATAGAATGGATTAGCTGAAATGTTATGATAGTAACATTAACACAAGAGAAAAGTTCAAAACTTGAAACAAAAATTAGAAATTCTAAGTTCAATTTGCAATGTAATTTACAATTAAGAAATTAAAGTTCTGCTATTTTAGCAGAAGAATACAATTGTGTAGGTATTTAGTGAAAAATAAACCCAATAAAATAGCAAAATGTGATTAACAATTGTCCAGATAATTTATGTTTAAGTGTGAGAATAAAAAAAAACAATTGAGAAGGTGAAATATACATAATGTTGTCCCAAATCCTGAATTGAAGCATTGTCATTATTCCTTGAAATATTCTGACTAATACCTTAATTTTTGTTGCTTTGAGCAATATGCTACAACTACTGCATTATTAAACAAAGAATTCTCCAAGCTTCATATCTAGTAGTGAATAATACTCAATGTTTATAGGAGGCAACAAATTTAATGAAAACAAAAGATATTAGCTAAAACACAATGATAAAAACAAGATGAGAATATTAGTCAAAATTATAGAATATTATGTATTATCTAATTATTACCCATGAAAAAAGTTTGAATTTCTATTAAATGAACAACAAATATTGTTTTATAAGAATGTAAAACAAATGTTTTTTTTTATTTTTTTTATTTTAATGTTCATTAAAAATTTTCCATTAAGACTAGAATACTTTAACATTATATAAAAATATAATTTGTATGGTTGTCTTGTTAAAATAAAATGTAATCAAAATTAAAAATGCTAAATTAATTTTTTGGCATTTTAGATGAATTCAATGAGTCAGCATTATTTGAAAAAACAAAATAAAAAACAACAAAGGAATAAACATAAGTAAGTCATACAAATATATACATATAAAGAAAACTAAGTAATAAAATTAATTTTACCCAAATATTTCAGCATCAGTGACAGGCTTTTTGGTAAGTCAGTTGCCTGCTTGCCTCCTGTCATAGGTTTGAATCTAGACATGGTTGACTTACTTTATATATGTTTGCTTAGTTTCCTGTTTGAATTTCTGATATTGAAGAGTTATTATTTACACTCAAACTGTTATCAATAATAGAAAGGTTTCATAAAATATGTGCTTCATATAACATGAGGCCAATATTCAGAAGCAGCTCAACCCTATGGAGAAATCTCAAGCCTAACATCGGAATGAACATGACTAAGAACTGTATACAGTTCATCTCTTGCATTTGTGACAAAAATACAAAATTGAAACCAATTGCTCCCTAATAGTAAAGCTAGAGAAACATTGAAAAGCCATAATTAGGGGCAAGATAATGAAATCAGGCATGGTTGGGGGAAAAGGATAATAACCAACTCCTGTGGAATGAAGTAAAATTCTAGACAGGGAATAACACTGGAGAATCAGACATCTGAAAGAATTGGCACATATCCTAAGCTATGAGGTTCTCTTTAATAGGACTAGAATAGAAATAAATACAATAGGGGGCATTAATAGATAAAGAAAAATGACAGTATAGCAACAGCAATAAAAAAAAGAGAAGCCATAGTGAATGCAGTCAAGTGTGACAAGCAGTAGCATGTCAGCAGCAGGCAGACTATATTTAAGGATCTAAGTCCTAGACTCAGGATTGTCTCGCAAGATAACCCAATTTATGAACCTTGTGGGTTAAAAGTTCATAAATTGGGTGACATAATAATAATGAGTTCAAGCCTGGGATGGGTAGTGCAGGCAAAATCAGTGGAAACAGGGTGAGCAAATAAGAACAAGATGAGATATCCATAGATATGGACCATGGGATGAGAACAATCTACTTCCATAAATTAAATAAAGTTAAAAATTCCCTGATGGCTACCTGGATCAACAAGTGCCTAATGAAGACTGGTGGACACAACAGCCAAAATGATAACAACAACAACAAATATGAGGACAATAGGTTCAGTGTAAAGAATGTTTGCTTCAGTGTGACAAAACTAATCAACAAAGTGGCATTGGCATTTTTATAATTTTTGTCTAGATTTAAATAACTTTCTGTATATAATAACAATGATTTAGGGATCCTCAGCATTAAGTAATGATTAGCAAATTAACATTAACATAATATTACTACTGTATAGTGGGTTTGATCTTCATGGAGGTGGGGGTATAGCCCATCCATAAACATGGAGTAAAGGGTAAAACTATTAAAGCAGTTTTTGTTTAAGAAAAATATTAAATTTATGTTAGTGAAAAAGAAAAATGAGATAAAGTGAAATAATTTAAAATACTTTTGATGTATAAAATTTAAAGATACCTGACCTTTATCACTGATGAGTGACATTTCCATCATAGAAGACATCAGGCTTTTTTGTTCAGTGAGCATATGACTTAGCTGGTACATTTCTCCTTCCAGTACTATAAAAGAAAACAAATTGTATAGGAAATCAAAATTAAAAATATTAACATTAATCAACAACAGTATAAATATCCTTGTACAAATTTTTATATGTTAATAAAAAATAGAAATGACATTTAGCATACAAGTAAGCAACAAGCAGAAAACAGCTATATTTACACAAAGTCAGATTTTTTTATGCAGTTCATGGTTTTCATAATATTGGTATTAACCAACTAATAGTGGTAAGATTTTCAGGATATATTTATATAAGAAATGTGTCTAAGTTTCAGATTATAACATCTTTCCTTATTAAAAATATTGTAAATAACTTGTTTTGGGGATGACAAACATTAACATATAAAAAATTTTGTCGTACTTAATTTGTATAACAAAATTTTTTATTCGTAACATGATTTTATTTGATCATGTGATGAATTATATTAAATGTTAATATGGGCTCCAAGATATTCCATAACTTTTATCAATTTTTCAGTCATAGACTCAACTTTTGTACTGTTTTGATATTAAGATTACTTGCAATTGCTTTTGTTTCATAGAAAACATCTTTGTTTGAATAATGTTCTCCATTATATATATATATATATATATATATATATATATATATATTTTTGTCAAACATATATTGTTAAATATAACAGACAACAATGTATATTATGTTTGATAATAATAAGAATATGCTGAAAATTTTACCAGTGTCAGTTGCTCAATAATGATTTTATAGCAAAAAATTAAATTGCATAAAAATGATACATTTATGGCCCTTTTATAAATACAAGGTGAAAAGTTTGAATCTGTTTGAAAAAAAAAAAAAAAATCTTATCTTTTGGGTATTTGGCCAGAATTTGGGAAAGAAGTTAGACCAAGCTCTTTCCAGTATTCACCTTACAAATGTATATGTGACTGATCAGTGTTAGGAAAGTGTGCAATGCTAATCTCCTGAGATACAGCAAAGGTCAAAAGAAACTTGAAAATAAAATTCAACTTTCTGGCTTTTCTTTAAACTTAGAAACTGACTAAAGTTAAACATACAGCTTATATCAGCTTTCTAATTTTTATCTTTCCAGTTAATTTCTATTGTAATGACCCACTAAAAAAAAAAAAAAAAAAAACAAAATAAAAAAAATAATAATTAAACTTAAGAATAGTCCCTCTCCTGAAAATAAAATAATTCTGGTACTCAAAATATTCCCTCTTAAATGAGTCATTAATTATTATTTTTCACAATTTTTCTTTGTTTTCAGGAGGTTATAACAAACTGGTTTCAAAGTCACCATTACCATAATCATTGTCCAGTAGAAATAAATTATCAGGCATTTCACTTAAGTGAGAGGGCAACAATAAAATTAAATTTTTCAATGTCAATATTAGGTTATAAATGTAGCAAATGTGATCTACTGTTTACTAGAAGCTAAATATGATAAAAAAATATACTTTTATAGTATGCTATATTTATAAGGTAAATGTGGTCAATATCTAAAGTGTTATAGCATGTATAAAAGTTTGAGATAATTTTTATTAATGAATTATCAATAGCATGCAGTTTTAGGTTATCAGTACAGTTTAACATGATATCAAGGTAATGTATTGTTTACTAGTGTTTCAAAATCCTTTTGGGAGGGACAAAGCATGTAATGTAGGAATGTTCCTATATTCATATATATATATATATATATATATATATTACTGGATGTAACAGCAAAATTGTCCAAATGTTAGATTAAGCTTTGAACCATTGTGTATTAGAAATGATTAAAGATATCTTACTGGAATTCACCAAGGTTTCTATAACTCTATTGGACTCTACTTTGAGCAATAATAATGTACAATTACACTCCAACCTTAACAGAAGAATCATGATGAAATCGATCATAAACAAAAAATGATGTTCATCATTAATTAATCATAACTAAGGATCAGAATCTCATGAAGGATTGAAATAAAGTTCAAATATATATATATATATATATATATATATATATATATATATATATATATATATATATATATATATATATTATTCCAGATCATTTTCCAACTTATTCAAGATGATCTTCACTCTTTATGACCTTCTAATTTTCTGTCCTGGAGTAACAAGAATGTATGATTTCATTTTCAAGTCATTTTTTTACTGCTCTTTGGACTGTCATAGGTGAAACTCCTTTCTCACATGCCAAATGTCTTATAGATTGAGATGGATCTTTTCTAATTGATCTCTTCAGCTCTGTTGAAATGATGATCCCTCTTCCTGCTTTGACTTCCTGATCCAGTTTTCTTCTCTACTGCTTCCTCTTTTTTAAAACTTATTTACCATTACCTTGATGGTTCTAGAATGGACTTTGAAGATGGAAGCCAGAGTAGGAATGCTGGTACCATTACTGAAGGCCTGAATGATCTTTTTTCCTCTCACCATTGCTCATTTGGGTAGACAGTGGGTTTGATAAAAAAATAATTTTAACCTGTTCTATTTCTAAATGAATAATTCAAAGGGTTTTTCAGTGATACTTATTACAAATGGTGTCAAGATGGCTAAATGTCTTATCTGAAAAACTTGTAAAAAGAAACTCAATTAGTTTAGTGGTTTTTTAGGTATTAAAAATTTTGTGTACAATTATGCTTTAACATGATTCAGACAATTTTGCTGTTACACCCAGTATTATATATATATATATATATATATATATATATATATATATACACACACACACATACATACACTTTAAATAATTACATACAGAAATGGACAAATAAAATTAAATTTTTGTAAGTTGTCCAACAAGAGAAATGAATATTTAATCTGCAAATATTGAAAAAAAAAACAAAACAAAAAAAAAACATACATTAAAGAAAAAAAACTACATTCAATAAACATGTATAAACTACAATGTGCTACCAAAAATTTATGGTAATTTAAAACAAATTTAAAATTCAGAGAAAGAAATGAAGTCCTTTATATTTTGGTAGAGTGTGAAATGTCCAGCATGACATGAAAAAATACTGGGTAACTTGACAAATGAATAAATTGGCTAAGATCTTCAAATTCTTCAAACTTTTTTATAGTATTATATATACAAAAATATATATCAATATATCTTGCCTGAAATTTCTTTTGCTGTCTCAATGAATTGAGAGTAGTTCTTATAGACATTCTTTTTGAGGGCTTGGGCAGTTTCATCTGCAAGTATCTGCACATTTTGTTTTGTTTCCAATAACATGTCCTCCCCATCTTGAGAAGACAAATTGCTTACATCTGCAAAGTGAAAAAAACAAATAAAATCATCAGATAATTTAAAAAAAGAAAACCAAAAAGAAAGACAAGGAAAAATTTATGAGAGTAGTAAATTTAGCCTTCAATGAAAATCTCACAATTCTGGTTTTATGATATACTATATGAAGCCTTGTAAATATCAGTAAAGGTGGTATGGCGGTAACAACTTTTTAATGTTACTACCGGAGCAGGAACATTAATGATGGTTTGCCTACTCATACTGTCATTCAAAAGATATTTTGTTTAGATATCTTAGAATGTAACAAAACACAGAAACATTGGGATTCATGTCTTTCTAAAAGACATTAAAGTAAGAATCTAAATATTATTTGCTAAAATTTCAATTCCATTGTTCTGCTTCTACAACTGATAACTCTTTTATCCAGACTGCCTTTTTTAAGCATTATCTCGGAACCTTCACAAAATCAAAATATTGTCATTTATAGTTCTTATAGACATTCTTTTTGAGGGCTTAATAAAAAACAACAGTAAGAAATAGATATTTATTTTAATCTATTCAATCTTTAATTGTTTATTTAATTTTAATGCAAGTAATATAGGTTGTAACAGAAATTAAAAACAGTTAAAATACTAATTTGAAAAATGAATAAAATGTAAGTTTTTCAATTTTACTATAATTTTTATTTAAACATTTTAGTTAAATTACCATGAATAATTTTATATAGAAAATTTTCATGCTCAGAGTAAATATACTTTAAGAATTCTGTTCTATGCATTCATTTTTTATATAAAGAATATTAATGCATTCCAACTGTTCATAATGAAAAAGTTTTTAAATTCTTTATAAAAAATAATTACAGTTACATATTTCATGTTATAACTAAATTTTCCAGGTTTCGCTATCATTTTTTAATTTCTCCCCTATATTTTCAATTTATGTTAAGCTCAAAATATAAACATTGTTAATGCTTCATTCAAATTTTTTAAAGGAAAAATGGACAGAATATAATATCAATTTTCTTGCTTTGTTTTGAAAGCATAATTAGTTCTTACAATAAGACCCAATTATTTTTCACATTTAAACTAGACAGCCATAAACTCATTGGGTCTCTTTTAAAAGCAGTTCATAATACAAAATGTGAGGTAACAATATTATCAATTTTATTATTAATTACACATTAATTTGTATTTGCAATACAAGTTATTGTAATAATTATTGTTGCTCACATTATGCAATATTACTTAGTTCAAATGCAATAAAAAATTAATAAAATAAAGATACTTTTTTTAGAATGGAATTGCAAACTGATATCATACTAAAGGCCTTTCTAGTCAAGTAATATATAACCCTGGGATGACAATTTATACAAGCCTACAATACAATTTTCAATAGAGAAAGTCATACCAAGGAAAAAAAACAAAAAAAAAAAAACAAAGTTTTAGTATTATCTATATATAAGTAAATTATTTCAGTCACAAAACAAATGAAAAGCAACAAAAATGCCTTAATGCAAATATATCCTGATTTAAAGTATGACAAATAATTTATCTATATCAATAGTTTATGTTTTACTTCTTTTTATATTAAAAGAGTAATTTCTTCCAGCTTGCATCTACTTGTTTATTTACCATATAGCCTCTTCATCTTTCAAAAAAAAAAAAAAAAAAAAAAAGGTTCTAGTGTAAAGAATTGTATAAATATGTTGTTTTATGTATATTTCAATTTATTAATAATGTTGATATGATGTATTATCAATATTTATTACTTTTCTCTCACATAATAGTTGGAATATAATATGCAAGTGTTTGTTTATATACGCGGATTAATATAAGAATGTGTATTAAAAACAAATACTGAATTTGCTATTAAAAATGTAGTAAAAACAGAAAAATGGCCCTAGCTGAAGAAATCCTTTTCTAATTTTAATGAAATTTGGCATTGCCCTCAGCAGTGGTTCAAGGTACAATGTCTCTAAATTAGCTGATGTATTATGCAATATCTTGGGACCATACATACATACATATGAGATTACAGTTTTAGTATTATATAGATAATACAGATATTAAAATGTAAATTCCCACAACCTTCATTTTTAATTTGGGTTTTGGCATTTTAAAAAGAAGTGCATAAGTTTTGTTTTTGTGGTGTTGGGGGACACATGCTCTATTTATTAAAAGAGCCCACCACTACAGATGAAACAATTTGTTTTAAAATTGGTTGATTTTAGAATAAATATAATAGAGCAATTAATTAAAAAAAAAAATTGTATCATACTGGAATCATCTCCCAAAGTCTAACCTGTCACTTTAAATTAAAGTCATATTGCTCATGGTATAATGTAAATTTTGAGCCCTGGTATTACCATCCTGAATGAATCATTTTTATTTAAAATTGAAAAGTTTGAACACACTGTCTCTTATATACACATATACACACACTTTACATGTATTTGTATATTTTTGTCTGTAACTTTTTGCAGAACAAGAGTTAATGTTGCTATGATGATGTAAACATTACAATTGACCATGAAAATGTTTATTTAGAGTTTTCTTCATTCTTTATAATTAAAATAAAATTACATATATTCTTGATTATTATTATTTAATTTGATACATAATTACAATTTTTTCAACAATGAATGTAGCAAAATGAACCATGAACAAAAAACAGTATGAAAATACAGATCAAACAATCTGACTAAAGACTTATTAATTCAATAAGCATTTAAATACTTACTTTTGTATTTAATCGAAACAACTAATTGCTTTTATTATTTTGTTATGTTCAATATAGAAATAGGAAAATTACATGATCCTTCCTCATTAGAATGTTTTAAAAAGTTTATATCATCCTAAAACTCTAAATAATTTTCTGTATTAAAGATTAAGCTACTACTTCAAAATTAGATGCTTATTTAAATAATAGGCAGGATATAGTAAACAAATATAGGTATACACCCACAACTTTTCAAAATTTTGCTTTATGCTGGTTCACTTTTACAAAAGATATACATTAGTTTGTTTTACCTAATACCTGAAATAATATAAATTGAAATGCCATTAATCTATATGGGAAATATATCTGAGTATTCCAAGACTCCTAAAACTTTTTATGTTTGTTTGTCTTAAAGTTCTTTGTAGGCATTCAAAATGAGCTCTTTCTAAATTAAAATAAAAACTTTTTGGCAATCATTACAGCATTCTTAATTATAGCACAACTTTCATGTAAGATTAATATATATTTTTAAGTCTGAGAATACTCAAAATATTTTTGTATATAAATTAACTAGCGGGGATACCCAGTGATGCTCAGAAGATCTCTGAATAATAGTTTATTGATAATTTTCAGCCATTTTATGGAAAATAATTTTTTATTCAATCTTTAAAAAATAAATTTCATTGTTTTTTGGTTTATTACAAAATAACTAAATTTAGGAAAATATCACACTACCAATACTATGCTTCAGGGTGGAGGGTGTTCACTGATTATCCCCATACTTTTATTCAAAAAGACTTTATTTTTCAATTTAAATACTAATATAACTACTCTGTTAATGTTGTTTTCAAACAAATCAAACTTAGATAAAAGTTCATTAACCTTTTTCCAAATTATTATTAAAAAAAATGTTAATAAATTTAAATTAAGATATATTTAAACGTTTAATTTAAATAATTTTCTCCAAGCAAAAACTATAGCAAGCCTTATTTGAAAAATAATTATTTACTATTTATTTTGGAGGGGAATTTAGATTTTTTTTAAGTAAATAAAGTTTTACTTTTAAACATTACATTAGTAACTATTTTGAAAGATAGTAGAAGCAAGATACATTGAGAATTTACTTTTGAAAAGTGATTATGTTTAAATTTCAAGTTACATTTGGATTTGAAAAGAAAATTTTTTTTTTAGCTAAATAAGAATTAGGAGAGGCAGACATGACTTGCAGTCAACATTAGTCATGCTGAATATTTGTTTTACAAACTTAACTATACCTTATTTAAATTAATTTTTGAAAAAATAAGGCTTACTATACTTTTTTGCTTTAATAAAACTTAACTGAAAATTATTTACTTTTTTATGTTAGTTACAAACCAAAAAAACAATGATGTTGATTTCTTAAAGATTGAATAAAAAATTATTTTCCATAAGATGCCCAAAAAATATTAATAAGTCAATAATACACACACACAACTGCCCTTTAGGGTGATACTGAGTCTGTATATACAGACAGACTTCTCATCAATGGACTAATAGGGGTCTGTTAAAGCCAATTATCCATAGATGGGAAGGGATTATTTTTGAGTTATAAAACCACCATAGTAACTACCATGATTGTTTAAAACCCTTGTTTTTGTCATATAGGTAAATCCAACAAACGAAATATTCAGCGAAAAATCCCATTTGTCAGTAACATTTTAAACATCTCATAGAATGTAAAGTTCTTAAAGCAAACCTGTGCCAAACTTTTTTCCTGAATCCTTGATGACTTGGCTGTCCAAAAATGACAACATCAAGATAAAATAATGAAAACTGACCATCAAAAACACAATTATGCACAACAAGTTTTCGATCAATCAGTAAACTTCCTAAACCTTTTCAGGTGACATTATAGGATCCAGACAACTATTGTTTGCACATGGAATTATTCACTGGTAATTAATCTTTGATTTGGCCGTGGAAAATGTCACTTGGCGGTTATCATTAAGAAATCATGCCCAATTTTCTGAGAAAAATCACCATTTATGAAAAAACATTTATTTTCACTTCAAAATAATAACATTCAAACTTCATCCCTTTCTCCTTAATTTGATGTGAACATCATTAATAAAAGGAATGGCTAAATGGTCTGGTGATGGGAAATACAAAAGACATGTGTCGAAAAAAACAATGTTGTCTGCTAAGTGTTGTCATCACCCAGATCACAGGGTGTTAAAAACAAAACACATCAAGGCATTTTGGGAAAAAAAAAAGAAACCTTATATCAAGCCCTACCAATGTTGACCCTTTTTTTCCTCACTCTTTG